TGCTGACTTGTGTTAAAAAGCTATTATTAACAATGCAGAGTACACCATGCCTTAAAGTTACAAGATAATAAAAGCAAAATGAGTATATAAAGCAATGTTCATAAACTCAGTTCTGTTGTATGCCTTGTACACTGCCAAATCCCCCCCCCCCCCCTTCAAACAGTTTCTGAAATGAAAGCAGTACTTCATAGCTACCACTCACATTCATATCTGTAGCTGAGGGAAAACATCTACTAGAAGGCCGCTGTTTAATAGTTGCCACTCTTGAGTCCACAGTTGCATTGTCTGCAATTCTTGATGGCTTGGAAACTGGTACTATTTCATCCACCTTATCTGTAATATAAAAGTATTCAGTAAAATAAATATCATTTGTCCCACAACTGAAAAGTTCAGTATTGCAAGGTCAAAGGAAGAGATTTACTTCTCAAAAAAATGCAAAGAAAAAGTTTTTTTTTTTTTTGGCATTTTAACAAGGCAACGCTTGAGCATCAGAAGTCGTGCAAGCCGAGCACTTTTTATTGCTGCTACAGAACATGCATGCTTTAGTTTTAAGCCTGCATGCATTCAATGTTTACTTAGTGTGACTCGAAAAACAATCCTCTTCTTCAAACCTTCAAAATGTGAAGGGAGAATATCTATATAGAAATGGAAAGAAGACCTTTAGAAATAATGAATCCGTACAGCACTGTTTCAAATAGAGATAAGCAGACTGTACTTAGCCATCAGAAGTTCAGCGATATTTTGGACAATAACAAGTACTCCAGAAGTGCTCTTTTATGCCTATTCTCCTTAAACAATCACATCCTAATTTCTTCACACTCTTGGATATTCAGATTAGCATTATTAGTAACTGCATCCTTTAAATGAATCTTTTGTACGTATTTTGTACTTTAATAACTGAACAGTCTAGGAATATATTTAGCTGTGGTCAGAAACAGACCAAACAGACAAAGTCCAAATCTGAATGAGAACTTTAACATTTGGATTTGGGATTCTGATCTATTATATGCTGTGACGATAAAATATAGGGAAACTTTAATCAAGATATTCCAAAGCTGAGTGTTAGTTTTAGCCCTGTCTCCAACTCTGGTCACAAGCAAGGCTCATCAGCATTTAATACAGAACATCACTGCCTCAGACGGAAGACCTCCAAGTACCATCTTATCAGCTAATTATAGCCTGACAGCTCCTTTATTGCCACTTCTACTATTATGAAACTAAGGCATGGAGAAATTAAATAACTAGCCTAAGCCAGCAAAAAAGTTCAATGTTTGAATCTGTGCTAAAATCCAACTTGAATCATACCAGCATGTTCCCTTACTATGCCTTACATTGCATTTGCTTTTCTGTATCATGCTAATCTAGTGGTTTTTTCCTTTGAAGTTTCACCAAAGTAAGGATTAGTTATATAGCCTGTGCTATTTATGTGAGTGAATACCTCAGCCTGGCTCCTAGGCTTCCATAATGTGAGTCGGGGCAAAGTTACTTTTCAGCAATTAGATCCATGTCCCAAATATTTGCTTTAGCAAACAAGGATAGCTACTTCATGAGGCTACTACAGATGTAAACAACACAGGGTTGTGGTTGTCTAGTGATGGTGTTACTATGGCAAGTATCAGGTTTAGGGAGTTAAATTTTACCTCTCACTGGAGAGCAGCGCACTCAGGGCCCTGGATATGAATATGGATGGGAATAAGGCAGGAGGAAAAGAGCTTTTGATCCCTCTAAACAGTAGATCTGGCTGATGCAAGGATGATAATTTAAACAGGAGAAGAAGAGAGGGAAGACCTTTTAGCCTGCTGGTTAGGAAGAAGGTTGTCCTAGAAGTGGGTATTTCACTGTCACAGAGGGTCAGGGAGCAGGCAGGAAAGGAAAAGGTTGAGCAGAACCAGTAAGCTGAACACTGTTGAAAACTGTCTCATAAGAGTAGTGTTGCTGTTGCTTTTCAACTGAGGTTAGCATTCAATTCTTTTCATTGGTCTGCTTTATTTTTGTAGGTTTTAAATCATCCAGTGGAAGGAGAAAAGGAAAAAAGAAATCTTAAAATCATCACGTATTCAAAAACTTCACATTTCATGAGACTTTGTAACACAAACTGTGAACTTCTGAAAGAAAAATATCTGCACTTCTGCTCAGCAAAAGGCATCAGAAAGCAATGGTGTAACCATGGACATTTGAACTGTACAGCAAAAATATGGCTAGACTGTAGAATCATTCCCAGGGGATCTATCACCAAGAGCTTCAACTGGGCAGAGATTTCCTGTTAAGTCTCTCCCACCCTTTTTAGCATCCCAGAAGCCAAACAGCTGGTCTTTGGGATAGAGAAAGAAGGAAGCTTTGGAAACTGAAGCAGTAGGTACTCAAAATCTGTAAACAAGAAATATAAATATACCATGTATGAACTGATCCCCTTTATTTTTAACAGACACATGTAACCATATACCCATTCAGACAACAAAAAGCTACAGGGAAAGAGTGATGAGGCTATGACAGACACTTGAAAAGCATGGAAATATTTGTTTGGGGATGAAACATACATACCCTCCAACTGCACTGATTTTGCTAGACAATACTACAAGTCAGATCCTAACTTTGGATCTGACCAAAATATCAGTTGGTACCAATTCTTAATACCATCTACTGTCGCCATTTGGAAAAATCTTTGGTTTGTGTAGGTTTATTGCAGGTTTCTTGTCTGTAGACAGGTTTTCAGTCCCTATAGCTGCTCCCATTCAAAGGGTGCTTTGTGCCTTGCTGAGTCTAGCTACAGCACTTAGATATGGGAGAGGAGAGCAGGTTAAAGCTTAAGCTGCTCTGCAAGGAGCTCTTTAGAGGTTCCTCATGTAGTATTTCCAACATCAGTGCTGCTGTATCTGTGCAGCTTCTTCTTTAGCTCTACTGCCCTTTGATCAGAAAGCAAAGGTAGAGTGGAGGTTGTAATTTTGAAACTACCACAAAAAATCTGAAGCTACAGGAGCAGCCAGCACGTGGAATGAGCTTTATTCTACATGGCAGCAGCTACGTGGCGGGTCCTGCAGGATACGTCAGAATCTCAGCATCAGGCCGCAACTGCACCACACTTCTGACATGAAAGCACTACGTAAAGTAAAAACATTCTCACTGCATTATCAAACGTGCTCATTAGGCCAAGAAAATGAACTGGCTGAATTGTATTTAGCTGCATTCCAACTCATCCCAAAGAAATAAGACGGAAGCAGACTGAGACAAACTTTCACTTGCCTTTGCCTTTCACTGTTCATATCCACAGTACCAGTGTGCAAACCATGTATGCACCAGAAACACACATTCAAAAGGCAGCACGTACTGGAATAATTTGTCAGGCTTACTAATCAGCTTGTCTCCCAACCTCCTTGTGATCTTCAGTACTCTGCAGCATGCATTCCTTGTACCAGTGAGAGGGGAATCTTACAAGCTTGTGTTGGAAATTCTCTTTTACAAACAGTTTAAACTAGAGAGATATGAAATAGCCACAGAATGGGTGCAAAAATTTACATCTGGTGTGAGGTGTGTGGACCACATGGCCAAAAAAGCACGCCTCCAATGGTGTTCTTCAAAGGGACGCAGCTGGACGTAGGTGGAAGGGAAGAAAAGATTCCTTAGTGGAAAAAACCTACGCTGGAGGTTGGCCATGCCAGCTGCATTTCATGGTTAAACCGGTCATTTAGCAAAGTAGAGGCACAAGCACACACACACACACACACACTTCTAAGGGAGCAATCTATGGCTGGCTGGCAGGAGAACCAAACAGTAGTTGTTCTATTCTGAATAACTTCAGTCTCGCAGAAAGACAGGGAAGAAGAGTCTGTGGCTCACTGGACAGAGAGTGCAGCTCGGTGGTCATCACAGAAGAGGAGTTTTAGGCCTACAGTTATTCTCTAGTATTTGCCAGAGGAGGAATTCATCACTGCTTTGTCATATAAACTCTTCTGAACCTTTACGAGAAGTTACAACGGCAATGTTGAGAGTCAAACACAGGAGCCATGCTACACCTGTGATCATCAGTTACCACTGCTCAAGGGGCTCCTGGTAACAGCATCCTTTCGGAGAACTGTCAGGGATACCACATGTATAAGCCAGTCTAATGCCTCTGCATGCATATAGCAATTTGAGTGCCACTAGATTAAATTCCCCCGAGAGAGGCAGCACCAACAGATATAAAATAATTTATTGTAAACTGCATTTCCATCTGCCCCGTGGGTTACAAACTGGACCCGTGCTCTGCTCAGGGTGCCAGCCCTCAGGAAATTACACGGCCTAAAGGCACAGAAAGGAGTTGCATTTTATCAACATGTAGGTCGTCTCTGATGAAAAGCTCTTAAATCACAGACAGAGTAGCACAGTACCCAACAGCACGTCCTGACTTTTACATTCTCAAGAGGTCTGGCTGCTAGGCAAGTTGCTTTTTCTTTTTTTTTTTTCTTTTTCTTTCATAATTAATATCTATGATAATTACAGGGGACAGTCTCCTCCTCATAGATTTGTTGCAGGAGATGGTTCTTATCCCCACAGAACTCATTGCTTAGTGACTCCTGTTTCCAATCCCCAGACTCTCTCAGAGGAAAAATTATAATGCTGCCCATCAAACCACCAGATCCATCATAAAAGGAACTTTGAAAATGAGAGTCAGGTGCCTAGATAGATCTGGTGGCACATCACTGTAACAGGCCCCAAAAGATAAATATGAGGTATGATCCTGGCAACATTACTTATTGTACGACATAGCCAAGACATGTGGATTAGCTCCACCGAGGGTCTTAGAAAGTGAGCTTGTCAGACCCACAGAGGATAAGAATGATCATGATCCGGTACAGGCTAACCCCAACACCTCAGGCTGGCATGCCAGAAACACCAGGCAAAGACTGATCGAACACAGTTTTGGAGGCGAGTATTGCCAAGACCTGTATACTTACCACCAAGTCCAGAACGCTTGCTCAGAGGGGATGGGATAATGGAGAAAGAAAACTCAAAAAACAGCTGCCTCAAGAAATGACTTGTATTTGTAAGAAAAGCAATGAATGCCTGGCACAGAGTAAAAAAATGCTCGTATGAAGTTAAAGTGAAAGAACAGAGGCAAATGTTCTTCAAATACCAGCAGCACACATTGTTAACAGTGCAAATAGAAACTACAAAATGTTAGACTAATCTAGTCAGCCAGAATACAATGTTAGCCAATGTAGGAAATGGTTGAATTCTGCCACTGATGGCCTTATGGCTAAGAATTAAAAGGACAGGCACATTAAAAAAAACCCTAAAAATCCTATGGTGTGGTTATTTTTTCTTCCCTCCCCCTTTTGCCTGGCGTGTAGGCATGGGCAACGAGGCCCTCTCGGTTATGGCTCTCTGCAGCCGGCCACTGCGACAAGGCAGCGTGGCCTGCGGTGGTTCTCGAGAGTCGCTCGTCCCTTCGGCCCCTGGTAAGCACACAGTGGAGGATGCCACTGCGTCCTCACCAGTCCATGTCGAGGCACAGGTTAACTCGACATGGGGGGTGGCTCTTTGGGAGATGCGTGTTTCAAGGACCTGCGTCCTTGGCTGCTTGAGAAAAGCTAAAATCTCTGACAGGTAGTTATGGATGGCTCTTGTGGAGGTAGCCACAATGCCCAGCTGCAGCTCCATACGGCCCATGGACTGTGACATGAGACCCATGGACTGTGCATGCTCCCTCTTGATATTTTCCAGCAGCTGCACAATCCTACTGTTGGTTTCCATCAACAGCTTCTCTCCCTCTGTTAGCTGGGGCTGCCCTCTCCAACCCCGATCCCTAGGGACAGGCTCAACACCGCAGCGCTCTTCATTCATTTCATCATTTCCCTCCTCCTCAGGAGAGTCACTTTCAAACTGAGGAGTCCTACTGAGTGACTGATCCCCGGGAGACTGTATGTCCATGGTACACTCCGGAGTCCGCGCTGGCGTTTGAAATCCCTCAAAATCCTCCCCAACGTTGCTGTGCGTTTCAGACGAGGACAACGGCCACTGCCAGCTCTCTGTGGTCCTGGCTGGCGAGTCTTCGTCAGAGGCAGGCACCGAGGATTCCTGTTCTTCAGCCGGTGTGGACAGCGAGCTCCCTCGGTGATGGCCAGCTTGCCCCGAGGATCCAGGAACCTCCCCATCTTGTTCCCCAGTGACATCTGGCAATCAAATAGAGGAGCAACAACCACTGTATCTGAGGCCAGGCAGATGGAGGTATCTACATGCATTGGACAACACACAGAAAGAAGCCAGTTGGGAAGCCAGAGTGTATGTGTTTGGGCAAACGGAAGGGCGGACTAAAGTTTAGTGAATGCACTGGGCACGTGGTACTTGACATTATTAACAGCTTTTGGTATAAATGCACACTGTCCTGTACCCAAAACACACACAGCCATGCTGCATCCCAAGGCAGGAACTACCAATTCACCTCATCGTGACTGTGACAGGAAATGTCAGTGAACCTATCAAAAAGCTCACCTATGCACTGCAGTGGTGTCAGTCAGAAATCCCTGGGACGAGCTCAGGGCCAAGTGTCCAATTGAGCTTCCTGGGGTGCCAGATGTGCTCCACCACTGGCTGAGGGCAGCCCTTTGTTGTTCTGAAGCACTGCTGTCTATCTTCACTTTTGTCCGACGTCTCACGTCACTCCCACCCCCAGTGTGCTCTCTCCCAAATCACTGCTGCAGCACGACGGTGGCTGTCCACAGCGTGTATCCCGCGAGCAATGCCCTCCCTAACATTTGCCAGATTTTCCTTGTTCTTTTCTCCAAACAGCAGGAAACGCTTCCTGAGGGCATTGCTCGCCAGGATCTCATCGTCTTCTGAAAATAAACTTAAGTTTTGCCCTCCCCTGGCTACCTCTTCCCTTGCCTGAAGGCATGTGGTGGAAATCTGGGTGCAATTGCTTCCCTGTGGCAACTTAGAGTGCAAAGAGGCATCATTACAGACATTATCAAGGAGGATATTGTGCATATGCTTACTCTACATCCTCCCCTACATAAATGCACTCCCAAAGGCTAGAGATGGCAAAGCTTTTTGCACCCGCAGTGATCACTGGCTCACAGTAGAGCACAATCTGCCCAGCACCATTCTTGGTTACAAGAGTCAGTGGCTGTAACTCTCACCCTTTCCATGCTTCAGATAAAAATAACCATGAGTTCATTTTGGTTTTTTTGTGGGGACAATTTGGTCATCAGAAATTAATCTGGGGTGGTCTGGCTAAGATGTTGCAGAACAGTAGCACAAAAAGCCTGCATTCCTCACACTCAGGCAAGGGATATGGGAGAGAAGTGCTGCCATTGGGAAGACTGTGACCTGAACAGCATGGCTGGCTGTGCTGCTCACACTACAGTGCTCTGGGTGCCAGCCTGCTGTCATGACTGCTCTATGGCAGCTCAGTCCTGAAAAATGTTATTATTTAGGGAGTAATTTCTGCTCTGTGAAATACCTTTATATAGATGCTGCTCTTCAGAACTCAATCTGAAGCTGTAAGCTTACATCTGGAAGGTGTTGCTGAGGTCATGTTCAAGGATACTTCTGGTTCTGTTTATGAATCTGAAAAGTCTGATTTTGTCTGATTTTTTAGTTTTTCTAGTTTATATGGTTTTAAATGAAAGCTCCTTCTGACAGACCCAAGGATGTCTCCTTCTGTATATCAGTCCCTGTCTACCCTCATATGGGATTTCTTATTTTTACACCCAAGTGCCTCCAATATTATTCTGCTCTGAAGGGGATTCTGTGTGGCTTAATATAATTATGACTTTTAAAAATGCTAAAATAATGGATATTAGTTGTGCATTTAGGATATTCACTACTTCAAAGTATTCACATTCAAAGTATTCACATTCCCTCTGTGTCTGGCTGGACTGTCCAGTTGCATGTTTTATGGAAAGTGAGGATGAGATTGTATTTGCAAAAAGGCATGAGCTCCTTATGAAAATGAATCTTAGGGACAAACTGTCATGCAATCATTGGCTCTTCCACTCCATGAAGATTTGAAAGGGACTGTGTATCAACCTAACTATAGTAACGGCTTCTTCCTTTGCAATTCTTCTCTCCCTATGCCTAATACAGCTGTAGCTGCAATCCTTCATTAACAGATCTCTCTTAACAACTATAGTATTGGACCACAAAATTCTTTCTCAGCATTTTCCTATCTGAATACACATGAAAAAAAGAACAAAAAAACAGGGGACCTAGCTTTACCACACATAGCAAACACACATTTCAGTTAAATTCTATGGGATTGGAGAAAGATAAGGGATCATACATATATTCATTCTGGTAGAGCCACTGGTCATACAAAAGGTCTTTGTATTTCTTTTGACAAGTCATCAGAAAATCGCCTGTGTTTGAAAACTCTGTTTCCCTGACAAGTGTTCTAAATAAAGCTCACCTAGGAACTGGTAAGAAAAGAGAACCAAACTCAACTGACAGTCAAAACCTGAAGCAAAACAGAACAAAAGACCCCTCCAAACCCCACATTAACTAATGAATATTTCTGGAAATAGTATCACTGAGTTTAGTTGGTCCAGGTTCAGGGGGATCATAAGAACACTTTTGTTATTTGTGCATGTTTACACATTTGCCAGAGGCTCAAAAGAAAAGCTTCTGTGAAAAAAACATACTAAACTTTTGCAAAGGTCCTAATTCTCTATAAAAATGTACCACTTGCTGTCCTCCTAATCACTATGTTCAGCCTTTCTGAGCTGAAAGAACAGCATCTGGCATAGGTGACCAATAACACAAATGACAAAGAGCACAAGAAAACAGTGAAAACCCCTGGGCAGAAAGTTAATTGTGGAAACTACTGGCGAATACTTATGAATAATGAATACATTCAACAGGTTTTAGGATAGGTTTAAGGATTGACTAGCAATGAAAAAGAGGAAGATTCGTAACTGCTACTATATGTTACAACGTGTTCAATACCTCTAGTAACTCCGGTTATGGGAAGCTTTGTGAAGCATTGACATGGGGCATAGGGAAACCGAGGCACGGCCTTACACGAGTTTTTGTACACTACAGAGCACTCCTGGGAAATCTGCCTGAAGGTCACTGGCTGTCACCACCTTCATGAATGTGTCAGTCCCAATAAATATGTGCCCAATAAATCCATTCCTTGATGACCAAAGGTCGCCCTAAAATTCAGACCAGATCTTGGCTAGACGATTGCACTAGTGGCTAGGTTGGTGCTGTGGAAAAGGTGTGCCAGTTACAGTAGGGGCACTGTAGAACTTGATTTGGCCAGAAACTGTCCTTACTGGCCATAGAAGGTGACTACTTCAAACAGCTGCCGAAAGTGGGATTAAAGCTGACTGAAGGAGTTACCTCAGCTAACTACCTTTACCTCATTTCCTTGGCAAAGGGGTGACTTCCAAGTGACTGTCAAGTCAGAATTAGCTATGGACCAAACTATATACCAACACGGTTGATGTTACTTGGTTGTTAACTGGCTTAGAAAAGAATTCTCACATTTAAAACCAAGTTTAAATACAGTGTGTACAAAGAAGTACAGCTAGTTTCCTCAGGGATGAAGCAAAGGGAAGAGTCAGATTCTCTAATTGTTTCCACCTTACATACCATTCCTACACGCAGCATTTTGCTCACAGTGATATACATGACTTACAGGCAAAATAGGTCACTTTAGGTCTTTTATAAGCATCTTTATATCTAATGATAGCAGCCAACTAACTGACAGTCTCCAAACCGTGACTTGCTTCATGTTCCTAACCTCATCTCCCTTGCTCTGACAGGGTATGACTCCCATTTTGATCTTAAAGTGACTAAGTGAAGATTCAGGAAGGAGCATGCATATGGGCTAAAGGAAATATAAACATCTGGAAGACAGTGACCCACTGCACTTCAGCTTTCGTGTTTGATTACTGTGAGCACTGCTGCAGCTATTTCCAAGAGTTACACGGGATTCACATGTTTTACCTTGCTGATCCTGTAGTTTTTTAAACAAAAAATGAGATCTATTATTAAAGTGGTCCATGTAGTAGGAACTAGTGAACCTTCATCAAAGTCCTGGCTATCTTCCTTTTCTGTCAAGCAGGTACTCTGTTTCTGCAGCAAAGTCCATAGCTGGCTGCTCGTACGGGTGTTTGCACTGGGCTGATAAAGCCTGGTCTGATGTGTTAAATTAGCAGTTGCTCCTGGTGGCCACAGGAGAACTGCTCCATCTTTTGTTCCTGCAGGGGTGATCTGTGGTTTGCCCAATCCTATTCTGAACATGGTGATTAGAAGCCAGGATTATTCCAGCCTTCAGGTTCATGAACATGTCCATCATTTTGGAGCACTGCTATACCATGCTGTCTCTTTGCATCACAACATTCATTACCAGTGAGAATCTTTTACATTTGTTATTAGACATACTTAGGATTGTAGCAGTTATTGGGTTAAGATACACAGAGAACTAAACAGTCGATTCAGCTGTAGGGATAGAGGACTGAGACAGAGGCCAAGAACAGAGCAGGGCTTTGAATATAAACAGACTTCAGAGACATCAGAGGTATTTCTTTAACTTTTGTTCACTGAAGAACATTTTGAGACTTATGCCTGTGTTGTGCCTTACCTGCCACTTGGACTGGCAGCTGATCCCTCCCCTGAGATGTGCTGCTCTTTAAGAATCCCTCCTTTTGAAATCCCACCATTTCTGTTTCACCTCTGCTACTGGATCGTTGCCTTTTCCATTATCTTTCCTTTCCAGGTTCCCCACCAGTGGAGCTGGACGTGAGGGGTGGGGTACCGTCTTCCTGCTGACAGGTAGGTGGAGATGTTCCTTGGCCACAACAAGTGGCCAGGAGCTCAACAACAGCGGTAACACAGTTGCGGAGCTTCCTGGGACCTGCCTCTGCTGCTCTGGACCTGGGCCTCTGCCTGTATCTGCATCATGCCTCCTGGGGTGGGTGCATTTTTCAAACTGCTTAGGTACACCAAGGTGACAGATGCCTTGTAAATACCTAAGATAGATACAGACAGAAACTGTACCATGCACAATCAGTTATGCAAAACTTCATACAATGCCAATTGCACCTATATGCTGTAGTATCACCCACCTTTTCTAGCATCTGCAGTCAACCACAGTCAAATATTTGGCACATGTATTTTTCCTTTTGAAAAGTGATGGGAACACAGGACATTCATTCTTCCTTGGTGTCAACAGGACTAGGCACATAGCTCTTAATGTCAGGTATTGCATATGCACATATTTTGTTCCATAGCCTTCCCTAAATACGAGTTTGCAAGCTGAGTTTAATTCCTTTCATTAGCTGCTAAAACTTATTTCCTTGTCAATAAACTGCAAAAATCAGTTCCATAAGTACTAAAGGGGTAGTCTTTAGGTGTGTAGATTTGTTTAAACTACATTAAAACATGGCTATGATGTTGCTTTTATCTCATGGTTTAATTTCATAATATCTTCTATTTTTAACTACAAGCAGCTTGATTTTAGTATAAATACCAGGAGTGATTATGTGTATAAGTTTGCATGTCTGAAAGAAAATAAGCATCTAAACCAAGCAGATGCACTTATTTACTGTATTCCTTTTAGATTTTTGTCACTTCCCCTATTTATACAAAAGACCTGGCCCTGCTTAGTTTATGAAAGAACAGCTGGAAAGTAACCTGATTAATACTTCAGGGTGAATGTCTGTGGATGGGGGAACTATGTGAAGGGCAATTTGGACAAACAGTGAGTATGGGAACCTAAATAAGGCTCTCGAAGAAGCAGATGAACTCCAGTACTAAGGGGGTGGTAGCAGAACGATGAGAACTGATTTCAAAAGCAAGCTTGATCAGAAGACAGAAGTTTGTATGATAATGTCACCTGTCATAGAAGCAGTTGTGCTTGATGAAGTGATTTCTAGTGTCTCTGGGGAAAACCAGGTGACTCCTATTTGCAGATGACTAAAAATGGATTTTTTAGCTATTAGCTATGCCCACTGACAACTGATGTCTTTCTTTTTAGCTACTGAAATCAGAATACAGGTATAAAAATTCATCAGACCAAAAGTAGGTAAAGTAGGCCTTCAACATACTGTTCAGCATTTAAAGACTAACCTAATGCAAAAGCACTGCATCAGAGTAAGAACGTTAAAGGTTAAGACTGAAATCCAAATTTGGTGTTTATGATCATATTTAGAGGAAAGAAATAACAAGTTCAGCCTAGAGTTATGTCATGTAAATGTAGAGTTAAAGAATATACAGGAATGGAATGAGTTTTCATTTAGACAATTAGGCTAATCCTCATAAATCTGCCACCACGAGCACATTTTAATCTGGAATTAACTTCTTCCAGCCCCATGCCAAGTGAACAATTTGCAGGATTGTGCTTAAATCACAATGCCAAAAATCACACATTTAGCATACTGCAAACAATAGGCAGAGAATATTACTTTAGCAGTTACCATCACGAGGAAATAACAGAAGTGCTTTGCAATACAGTCAAAAGCATAAGCCATTTGAAACACTTTTGTTCTATGAAAATGGAGTAAAAATACTTGGATATTCCCTAGGATACTGTAAGCTCTACACTGCACATTAAAATCCAGAAAAGGGAAAACTTACGTAAAATAAATCAGTAAAACATATAAACTGCTTAGTGACTAAAGTGAATCATTGAACATTGAGTATCTACAAATACCATTACATGATTTATGAAAAAGATTTGTATGTATTCACAATAAAGAACTAGCAAAACTTTCTGGAAAGAAAGTCTTGTGCTTTTAGGGCTGAAAATACTTTCACATTAGTACATATAAATCACATTTACATATGATAATCACACCATCAAAAGTAATTTTAAGGAAGGCAGAAAACTGATATGATCAAATTCTTTCTATAGATACAATTTTCAAGTACCAGCTCTTTAACAGTATGTTCAATTAATGAAAGAATTATACAGGCCTTTAAAATGCACCTGCAATCCTGAAGCCTTACAATTCGGCCTACCTTGAAAGAGGAATGGTCATTGTCTAACAGTGGTTTCTGTTCAAGAACAAAAACAAAGCAGAGAATATAGTCAATACCCACTCCTACCCTGCAAGCCAGGTGGAATTTAAGTGGCAATTTGATGTTCTGTTTAAGAGACAGCATTTGAAAATTTGGCCTAGTCACAAAAGAAAGACAAGCAACCAAAAGAAACCAAACAGAAAGGTGAAGGACCTAAGACACTTGCAGTCTTCTCTGTTCTTATACTTAATTCTCACGCTTCCACACCGAGGGGAAAAACCAAACAAACTAATGATAATTAGCTAAAACCATTTATTTTAATTATGTTAGAAATTAATTAACATGGGTATGTGAACATTTGAAGGAAAAAAAAAAAAGAGAAATAGCAGCAAAGGGAGTTTTGAGATGAGGGAGGTAAGTCCTTCATCTCCCTGGCTCCTGAAAAAAAGAGAGAACACATTAAAGGTGTTGAAAACGTTTTCCACTGCCCTAACTGTACCAGGCTGGAAAACACATGCAAGTTTTACTGTTCCTCAGGCACTTGTGACTTTCAGTATGTGGTTAGATATTCAATTAGTAATATCTGAGTATAGCAAGTGACACTCTCATATGCCAACGCATTTAATTCCTCTGTTTCCAAATGCTACAAACCCCATGTTTTCTTTAACACTTACAATTCCTTTTCCAACTTCTTTTATACCATTGTCTTGTTTGGTTGATGCTGAAAGGTTTTGAAAACCTTTTCAATTACTGTCCTGTAGTGAAGAAAAACAAGTATCAAAAAAGGGTGCTACATACACAGGAGTAAGCTGATAAACTCAAAGTAATACTAGCACCCACACAGGGACTCGACCTCTGCCCAGGATTCCAGATGTTTGTATATTATTAGTTAAAGCTGCCCACGTCACCCAACGTAAGCCCTGGTTTGAAGTGTTCAGTACTGAGAGTTACCTCTTAATTCTGTGCCAAAAGTTCATAATTGGCACATTGCCAGGTAGGTGCCAGATTTTTTTCAGTGGAAAACATAATGTTAGCATAGTGTTCCCTGATATGTGCTGATTTTTAATGCTTTGCTCTTCCAAAGTGTTTTAAAAGCACATATGCCATAGGCACAGTCCTAATCCTTCACCTCTTATGCTGCTATGGACTCCCCACAAGACTACAAGTCCTAAAACCTGTAGCCTTGCTACATCAATAAAAACTGGGGCACATAGTTTTTCGCACATACACTTCCCAGATTCCCCCCAGAGTCACTGCTTTGTGCTGGTGAAAAATGACAACCTGATGACAACCTTTATCTTATTACTACATTGCTACCTCATTAGAATTGCAAATATGTAATGCAAATCAATTACTTACACGGATACCCTTCAAGAATTCTTCATTAAGCCTGATGCCTTTTGCTCTCATCTTCTAAAATACAGTGGATGGTGAAGATCAGAAAACCTTCTTCCTGCATAAAAGCACTGTAGATGCTGGAAACTATCAAAGGAGTTGACGTTGTGAGTGCTGTGAAAGTTGCTTTGATGGTACTTCCGTTGTTTCCTGCAGACAAATCTGCATCATCAACTTCACCCCAGTGAAAGAAAAACCTCATTTTTGAACCCAGATGCCTTTGTGAGTGCTTTCTTCAAACACAACATAAAACTGTAAGCTAATCCACTGCTTGGCATTCATTGATATGTATTTGCTCTGCAATTTCATTGTTTCAGATGCCATTTGAATGTGCCACCTTTGAAACAATGGACAACAGGAATGGGATGAAGTGTGGATGCTTATTGCAGACAGAGCTAATAATATTTCTTTTGAATGCCATCAACTGATATTTTTCTATTCAAATAGAAAGACTTGATGCCACGTAACAATATTCTGCGTGGATGACAGCACAGTTACTCTGTACCTGAGAGGTGGTACTAGCATCTAAACTGGTCACAGGAGGAAAATCCTTTGTTTGTATTTGGTACTAGAGCCCACACCAAACCCCATAGATCAGCATCAATACATATAGAGGGATTATCTTATATTGATTACCACATCAAATCTATGCACAAACCAACCACCACCCCAGCTCACAACTGACACTCGTGTGACACTGTCAAAGTGATATTTATTAATGCAGAAGAATAATTTATCCTGTCATCCCCATTCCACTATGAAAATTTAGCCTGCTCTAGTCTTAATTTTGTACTTTCTCTTGGATGATTTTTATATGAGGTTTTTAAAATGAAACACTGTCCACTTTAGCTTTCACTGGAAACACCGAATTGCTCACTAAATCAAACCCATTTCCTGGCAGTGAAAAAGCTTACGAGAATGAAACTTGTAAATCATGTACCTAGACATTTACAGAGCTTAGTTTATGGATGTGTTCCTTAAGTACCAACTAATATTAATATTTTCCATCCACAAGAAGTTAGTGATAAAGAAGTTGAAAAAAACCCTGAAGGAAACTCCCTTTAAAACAAGCTCTTCATTAGCCACATAAACTTTCCAATGAGAAGCTAAATCTGTTATTTTAAAATATTAATTTTGAAACTAATATTTGCTGTAGTGATGAGGAAGATGATGACCTGAAATTTTTCTTGTAAGGTTTTTAGAGTATTATCAAAGCTTCTTTTTAATTTGCTACATGAATATTTTGGTTGCTCTTCAGTATTAATGGGCTCACTACACATTACCTGGAACTGTATTTTAAGTACTGCTTCCAAAAAACTGCTGCTACAACTGTTAGTTTACATGTTGCCATAATGTACTTATCCAACAATTCCTGTGAATGTACAAGAGACAAAAGAAAAAACACCTCTTCTCCCTCCCCACTACCCCACAGAATCCAGAAAGTGGTTTCCCTATTGAAAACACATCCCTTCAAACGTCTGTGTGAAAACACATCCCTCCAACAGTTTGAAGTTGGATGCTGTTTCTCCAGCTCAGGCAACCACTGTAAGCAGGACATCCGTGGCAGGGATGAAGTACAGGTTATGTTTTAGTAACTCCCGCTAGGTAACTGCAGTCAAATGCTTATACTGCCCATGCCATACTGCTGTGAACCCAGAGAGGTTATTACCTGGATCTTCAGACACAAACTTCCTATCTTCTATCTGAACATAAAAAAACAGCCTATGTCTTTTCCTCTTCCTATCTTCCCAAGTAGCCATGACCCCTCTCAGAAGACAACCAACAAAACCAGTCAAACAGAAGCACAAAAGCCATTATTTTCATCTTAATGCCTCCCTCATCTACAACCCAGAAAACTGCATTTTCCATTGAAGGGAAACTCTCCAACAACAATGTAAAGATTTTTTACATGCTGCCAAAAGACATTTTTCAGAAAAATACCAGCAGCAACGGGATTTTATTCTCTGATTGGAGAATGGCAAATATCACTTCCTGGAACCTTTGTTAGTGACCTGAACACAGGTCAGGAAAGAACAGAAAAATAAAGAGTGGAAAAAAAAATAAATCATGATTTTTGTCCCATTTAGTGTTAAAAAGCAAAGCTTCCCTGTTGAGAGAAGCCACTGCATACAGCCTAGCTTTCCCTTCCATAACACTGAACTTTGTTGAAGACTTCAGACTGTTTTACCAGCTATCACCCAGGGGCTCGGGGAGGTTTTAGACCCTTTCTTGGGTTGGACGCCATGAAAATGTGGAAATGACACAGCCCCTGCTCAGGAGAGCTCACAAGCTAGGAGAGCAAAATGACATACAGGAGTATGAAAAAATACAGCTCAACACAAACATACTTTGCATACATGTATATACATTTACATTCAGAAAAGCTATCCAAGTAGCACCACTATTTCTAGCTGCCCCTCTGCCTAGCCATCATTACTTAGATGATTGCTTAATAGGGATCGTAGGGGAAGTGGGTCTTAGGAGAGATTTCAAGGAGAAGGATGTGGCCTTATGAATCAGTTCAGGGAGGGCACTCCATGCATACAGGACAGCGTGGAAGATATTATACTGAAAAAATAGTGCAGAGCAGCATTTCTCCAGGTCAAAAAATGCCAGTGTTGTGTGCAAGATCCCTATTTTCTTAGACAGAGACAGTGTGGTTATGGGAGTAACATTTGGCCATTAAAGAGACAAGTGAAATCACTAACGTAGGACTACACTGAGGATACGTTACTGGCCACGGATACTCTGAGGCTGCCAGGTAGCACAGTAACTGTGGGGTGATGATATGAAAGGGTTTGGAAAAGAGCTGGATACAAAGAAGGAAAAAAAGGCAAGATGAAGGAAAGGAGACAAAAGTAAGAAATGTGGGGACTATTTTCAAATGTAGTCTTCTGTTTGAGTTCTTAGCGTGTTTGCAATTTATTAACTAAGTAACTAAAAAACATATAGAATAATTAATGTACATTTGACACCATAAAATAAACTGGACTATATGCCAACATTTACATTATGTTATTATCCTTCACTATGGAAAGGTGAGAAACAGGTTAAACAAGAGACAAAATGCTTCCCCTTACCCTTCTTCTTCCGTACTGAAGCTTGGAAACAGAAAGGGAATGAACTGTGAATCAATTCTGAAGGTAATTTTTATATGCTAAATCCTTGTCTGTCATTTTGAGCATAAACATTTGTCTTCCATCTAAGAAGTCAGTCTCTCCCTGCTAGCTTCTGCTACGCATGTCTCTATCAAACCACAGCAGATAGATAAACAGCTTGGCAAAAAGCACAGTTTATCAGGGTTTATACCTTAGCCATAAGAAATTGCTCCCCTTCAGGTATTAGGGACACATGTACATACTGTTTCCTAAATGATTTATTAAAAACAGTACACGGGGCAACTTACTGGTACCAGGGCTTTCCAACTATGATAACAGGGGATTTTCATGCACACTGAAGTGGAAGGGAATCAGGAGCACACGTTATCTGCCACATTTTGGATTAACTCATTTGGAAGAGAACAACTGAGATGGTCTGCTCAGTATTATGGAGCACAGAGTGGCTAAGTCCATGTCAATAAAAATGTAAGCAAGTTCAGAGCCAGGCAAAGGAAGTGACTGTAAAGAATGCAAGATCTATCTATCTATCTATCTATCTATCTATCTATCTATCTATCGATCTATCGATCTATCGATCTATCGATCTATCTTTAGAAAAAGATGTTATTTAGCTTAGGCAAAAAAAATAGACTCTGAGGGAAAATAAATGTGGAAATACTATTTATCTGTTTCTTCTGCTATGTAACAGGGGACATTTGCTAAAACTAAAGGAATCACATTTAAAACCGATAAAAAGGAAATACATTTGTACACAGCACATTATTAGCCTGTGGAATCCTCTGCCACGAGACACTATTGAGACCATGAGCTTCTTTAGTTCAGAAAAAGGATTACACATACATAGTGATGAGAACATCCACAGTGTTCATCTCTACATGCTTCCTATTTAGGCTGCACATATATGTTATGAAACAAATGCTTCTTCATTAGATAGTTTAATGGATGTAAAAATGTGGGTGTTCTCATAGCTCATACAGATGTCCAATATATACACAGATACAAATAAAGAAATATAAATTATATATAAATACACACATACAATCTGTGTTTTATGTCAGAAGACAACTTTTAACTGATGATAGTGAGAACATTTCCTCTTTGGAAGCTTGGTCGGTTCTTGTGCAATTTAAGGATTCTTGCTCCTTCTCCTAACAGCCCTTTCATAGGACCAATGTTAGAATAGGTAGACCACAGATGTTATTTATAACAGTAGTCATATTGTTTGCTAGAGTGGCAAATGTTCAGAGTATCACACAACTGGTATTTACAGGCTTGTTCAGGAAGAAGACAAATTTCTGCCATGCTCTAATATCACTACAGTTTTACTAGGGGACATACACTTGTGAAACATGGTTCAGGACTATCCCTCAGAATAGTGAAGTCTTGCCACTAATATCTGCCCCATCTGGATAAAGATATAGAAGGGAAATGTGCTTAAAGATTCAAGTATGTCCCATGGTTGCCAGCCACAAGAGCTTCAGTGCTTTCTGCAAGCCGATGAGAACAGCAGATCGAGTACTATAACCTGAACAGGGGGTGAGAAAGCTAAAATCTGATGGTCGTCACTGCAGAGGTGATGTTACAATCGATAAGCTATTTTCCTCTAGAAAAGAGTGCTTCCTCTCTCTGCCTTAAGAACAGTATCTACTATGTGAGACTGAAAAGTAAGAGAAATAGAAGAATATCCAAAGTGATTTGTAGAAGGGGATAATGAAGGGGGAAAATCAGTGCACAAGTATTTCTGCTCCTTGGGAAAATTTGTTGGTAAGCCAGCAAAGTTTTACAACTTCTTAGCACTCCATGCAAGGAAAACAAATCAAAACACCTAGATCCAAAAAGTGGCTCCAGAAATAATAGTTTAAATTTTAATCCTG